CATCCCCTTCAAAGTGGAGATCATCCCTCCTAAGACCAGAACTGCCAAGCAGATAAAGGCTTCCTAGGACCCACACAACCCAGAAGCTTTACCTGACTTATTTATGTTCTATAGTAGGCGCCCCTAAAGTTGGTCCTGGAGGGCTGCTGTCCTGCAGGTTTCAGAGGTTTCCTGCTCCAGCACAGCTGATTTTCATTGAAAGCAATCATCAGATTCAGCTGTGCTAAAGCAGGGAAACCTGTAAACCCTGCAGGACAGCAGCCCTCCAAGACTAACTTTAGGGGCGCCTACTATAGCAGATAAATAAGTCAGGTAAAGCTTCTGGGTTGTGTGGGTCCTAGGAAGCCTTTATCTGCTTGGCAGTTCTGGTCTTAGGAGGGATGATCTCCACTTTGAAGGGGATGAAGAACTCCATCAATGATTTTGTCTCTTTTAAGTCCAGGGAATATTCCTGAGCGATCTTCTCAGCCGTCCACGTCTGAGGCTGGTGCTGGTGGCTGCCGAGGGCCTTGAGAGCCTCTGCGATGGTCAGTTTCCCTTTGGGAACGTCTGAAAGCTCTGCTAGACCAAACATGTGTCCTGGGAAGCTGACCCTGAGGGGCCTCCGCTCTGCTCCTTCAGCTGCTGCCACACTGTCTGACACCTGGGAGGGAATCACAAAGAACAACAGCTGAACACGTTTCTCAGACACACAGACCAGTTCATCTCCAGGACGCTTGTCCTGCTGGGAAATTAATCTCCGGGCCAATCCGAAAGCTCCTGAAGCCTCCACCGGGGCTTCTTCATTTAACTCATTCCAAAGCATGATGCTGCCACCACCATGCTTCACAGATGGGGTTCTGCGTTCAGGATGATGTGGACTTTTCACAGGTGATTAAAGCAGCCAAGTAGACCGACGCCTGCCAGTGTTCTGTCAGACCAGCATACCTACAGTCAATACGCAAGACCTCCGTTTTGAGTTTATCCTAAGGATGCACGATATTGGGATTTTGGCCGATATCCGATATTTTAAAACTCATGTAGCCGATA